CTCCAAGACTGCTTTGGATCCTCTGTTCCCTTTTCTCTGCACCTCCCCCGCTTGCATGGTTGCTCTCTATCTCTATCTCTATCTCAAAAATACATAAACCTTAAAAAAAAAAGAAGAATAGTAGGAGCCAGGTTTTTCACTGTCAGAGAAAGGAATTGCAAACATGGGAAGAGAGAAAGTTAGAGGACCCTGCAGTGCTGGTTAGAGCAGGAGGTGGGGTAGCACATGGACTTACACTTGACAGTATGTATAGATAGATTCAGAAGTACACGTTATGTAAATGTGTATGTAAACACACACACACACACACACACACACACACATTCTCTAGTTCTTTCTACTGAAGCAGCCTGGGGGCCTCAACACCCTAAAATCAATGAGCACATTTAGCCCCAGATTCTAGTTTCTAAATGCCATTGTCCAGTAAATGGACTCATGACTCCTTGGAGAAACAGCTGATTCTAAAACAAAGCCGTGGAAAGCACAAGATGAGACTGGAATGTTAGTGCCAGAAAATAAGAAAGCTCACAAAAAATAAAAAAGGAATGTCAAAAGGACACAGAAGCCAGCTTAAAGGTGCTCCCATGACCAAATTAGGAACAATTTGTGTATCAAAATAAGTACCTTTAATAATAGATGTAACCTATTGAATAAAATAGGAAATTAATGATGAGGAATGAAATATTTACATGGTTTCAAACCACTTCACCCAGAAAATCTTACTAATTACAAAGGGAGAAAGAGCAACTTGACCATGGAGAAGCCTGGCAGACATCACCAGAAGCAGTGATCAAAGCAAATGCTGTCGGTAACAGGACAAATCAAAACTGCATGTCCCCAAGAGCGTGCAGGAAAAAGGACACAGCATGTCCGCGAACTCCTGCCAGGAGGCACAATCTGAACCCAATCTTGCAGAAGCATCACATGCCCCCAACTGAGGGACATTCTACAGAACTCTAGCCTGCAATCGTCAAGCATCAAGGCAACAAGAGTTGAAGAGCATCTGGCCACTCCAGCCTGAAGGAAACCAGAGATGTGGCAACTAAATGCAACATGTGGTTTGAAACTGAGTCCTTTTAGGAGCGCCTGGGTGGCTCAGTTAGTTCAGTGTCTGACTTCAGCTCAGGACATGATCTCACGGTTCATGAGTTCGAGCCCTGCGTCAGACTCTGTGCTGACAGCTTGGAGCCTGGAGCCTGCTTCAGATTCTGTGTCTCCCTCTCTCTGTCCCTCCCCTGCTCACTTTCTTTCTCTCTCTCTCAAAAATAAACGTTAAAAAAATTTTTTTAAGAAGGTGATTCCTTTTACTCTAAGGGATGTTATTTCAACAAGTGGCAGACATAAGTGGGATCTGAGCACTAGCTAATGATCATGGAAGAACGTTAGTCTCCTGATTTTGATGGTCACGGTGTGGCTATGCAGGGAAATGTCCCTGTTTGTATGACACACATATGCATGTATTTGGGGCTGATGGGGCATCATGTCAACAACTTGCTCTCAAAGTGTTCAGGAAAAAAAAAAAAGTTGTACCTTGTCTATATATTGGAATGTTTTGAAGGTTAAAGGAAAGAAGTGATAAAGATAGGAAGGGAAATAAACCAAATTACAGGGGGTGCCTGGGTGGCTTAGTCAGTTAAGTGTCCCACTTTGGCTCAGGTCATGATCTCACCGTTCGTGGGTTCAAGCCCCGCATCGGGCTCTGTGCTGACAGCTCAGAGCCTGGACCCTGCTTCAGATTCTGTGTCTCCCTCTCTCTCTGCTCCTCCCCCACTCACACTCTGTCTCTGTCTCTCTCAAAAATAAACAAACATTAAAAAAAATTACAGGAAACTGAAGCAGAGGAGAGGCAGAGAGGGAAAGCTCTCGAGGTGTGAATTAGAGGGCATGATGAGGGGTTATTGGCTTCTTTTTCCTGGCATACTTTCAGACCCAAACCTCCCTTCTCCCAAAGTCAGGCACTCCTCACAGGGACTATTCTCCCCCACTCTCACTCAGGCCCACTCTACACACTGCTACCAATGGCTGCAAGCAGCTGCCCTTTGCAAGCTTGGGGGGCTATAGTTCCAGATCCCAAGAGAATTGGTAGCAAGAGAGATGAAGAGTCAGGGGGACGGGGAAGGCAGACCGTCCCTCCAAGGTCAGGCGTCACTGTGCAACTGAACCTGTACAGAGGCAGGGAATGGTCTAAAAGTCCTTTGAAGGCCCCTTGGAGCCCAGGGGTGGTACTGGGAGGGTGTCTGATCAGACATCAATTTGTCCTCACCCTCTTCTCCTAACAGGTTTTAATTTTCATTTTCAGGATTGGCAGCCACTCCTGGGGTTTCCACATCAATGTAAACACACTTCAGGAGAGAGTACAGGAGCAAGAACCAAGACCAAATTTCTGCCCTACCTCTCCTACCTCAGTTTCCCCATCTGTTAAATGGGGGAAACCTCTTGCCCTATGTCACAGAGTTGGAGAAAGGGATGTCAGATGAAAACACATGGACGTCAGGCTATTGCACCCTTGCAGAGAAGGAATTGGCCAGTTTTCTTTTCCTATCTTTAGTAGGCAAGTAGAGAGCTCACCTCTCTTTCCCTTCTGCCCATGTCAGGGACTGTTCTGAGGAGTGTGCAGGATAGCTGGCTGCCAGAAGTGAACCAGGAGAGACTGGACACCAAAGTCAGAGGTCAGGGAAACATGTCCTCTACTCAAGCTGGAAAAAGGCCTCTGGACCTCTGCTCATGGCCTCCCCAATACCGCTAACCTTTTTCATTGTCACTCACCTACCACCCCCCATCCCTTCCTCACTTCCTGCCTTACCCAGCTAAAATTCCATGATCCATTATTGAAACGAACTTGTGTGCCCCCACCCACTATCAAAGCCCCCACCCAGGCGGCCCTCCTCACACCCAAGCTGGTGAGCGTGGTAAGGAGAAACTCACACAAGGACTGAGCTTATTGCATATCTATGCTGATTCATCTCCCGCAATCCCCACCAGTCCAGCATATTTGCCTCCCTCCCTCCTTCTGAAAGACCATTCCATCATTTCCCACATCTTTTCTCATCCCCCTCTTCTCTGCCAATCACTGTCTCATTCTTTGAAAAGAAAATGGAAGCAACAAACTGGGGGCTTTCCACCAGCAGCCCACCTCTATCTGGAGCCACACTCCTCAGTCTCCATCTGTTTCTGTGGTTAAACTGTCCCTACTCCAAGGGAAAGACCAACCCCTATACCTGTGTTCTGGACCCAAGGGCCTCATGACTGACTTTTCTTTTTCCTGTATGTGCCTGTCTACTGGACAACTGAATCAGACACACATGCTTTCATATCTCCTGCCCTTAAAAACAACTACCTGCCTTGGCCCCACATTCACCTGTAGCTACAGTTCCGTTCTCCTGCTCCCCGGCACAGCAAGAAGACTTATTTATAGCCCTCTCTCCACAATTTATCCTACTCTAACTGAACTTCAGTCCCCACCCCAGCATTGAGTCTGCTCTTGTTTAGAACACGTATGGCCTCCATATGGCCAAATGCAATGGTCACTTCTCTGTTCTTCCCTTACTTGATCTCTGAGCATTCCCTATAGTCACTCCTTCCTCCTTCCCTTGGCTTCATGGTGCATCTTTCTCTCTTGAATGTCCATCAGCCTCACTGGGTGTATCTTCTCTGCCTCTTACTGGCCCTTTCTCCTCTGACTGGCTTCCAAACGTTGAAATGCCCCAGAGCCCTATCTTTGGTCCATTTCTTCCTCCAGCTATACTTTAAGCCTACGTGACATCATCTTGTGGCTTCAAATAACATCCATATGCTGAAGACTCCCAAATCCCATGTGCTGGATCTCCCTGAAATATAAACTCATAAATTTACTCTTGCTTAACAAGTCCACTGGATGTCCATCTCAAACCTGACATGTGCGAAAGAGAACTCTTGATTTCTTTCTCCCTCCCGTCATCCCCAGAAGTTCTTTACTTTCTGTCTTCCACCATCCACCCAGTTACTCAAGGCAACAAAATAGCTCTTGCTCATATCTTTTTTATCATTTCCATATGCATCTCATCAGTAGACCCCCTTACCTCTAGCCCAAAGTGATCACTTTTCTCCACCTCCACTGCCACCACCCTGGTCCATGCCATAGCATGTCCCCTGAGCACTGAAACAGCCTCCTAATGTGTCTCTGCTTACACTCTTGATGCCTACAACACATTCTAATCCATACCCCATAAGAAATACTTTTCTTTGCATAATAGTCTCCAAAATGCCTCTATCATCCTTAGGGAAAAAAAGTGAACCTTGTTTTCCTAGTTTACAAACCCTATGTATGGCCCAGCTCAGCACAGGGCCTAGAGGCTAAATCTCATCCAGTTGACTAATAAAAGATGCAAGGAGTTCTTTGTATTGGGGACACTTGTGGGTGTGAGTGTGTTCAAAATAGTTTTCCAGGAAGAGGGGCCTGGGAAAGGTTGCAATGCATGGGTAAGGAGTGAAGGGAGGAAGGGAAGGGAAGGCACCTCTATTTATAATCAGACACCAGCTTGGAGAAGGTCCCACTCCCAAAGGCAGCCTAATTGCCAAGACAGCATTATCAGCAAGACAGCCCATGGGCAGTAGAGGACCACATTTCTCCAAAGGCAGAGCCTGGGGTCTGCTAGGATGCCACTGGTTTGCTGAAAGGGAGAGGTAGGGATGGGGTTGTGGAGAGGGAAGAAGAGGAGGAATAGCTGCCATTTTGCAAAACTCAATAGAATGCCTACAGCTGGGGCCAAGCAGAAGGCATGGCAGCTAAGCCATGAAAGCTGCGCTGGGAATAACGTGCCCTTGGCTGACATGGCTGGGATTGGGAACCTCAGAATCCTGTGGGTTCAGTCCTGCTAATAGAACCTCCACCAGGCTCCACCTTCCCAAGGCCAAGTGCTCTGTACTTTTCCCTCCTACATCAGTCTATACCACCCAAACAAGAAAGTGTAAGCCCCCTCACTCCCTCTGTCCATGGGAAAACACACAGAGGTATATCTTACTGTTGTCCAAGTGGTTGGCCTTAATGATCTTCTCTGAGTAGTCAGAAATACTGGAACATTCAATCTAGAAAGGGCACAGAACAAAGGAGAAAGGTGTAAAAAAGATCACAGCCTGCCTAGCTCCTATTTAACAGACAAATAAGCTGAGCCTAGATGGGTACAGTGACCCGCCCACAGTCATACAGCTATTTTTTCATACAGCAGACTGAAAACTACAGTGCATCCCTCCCAATTTTCAGGCCAGTGGCTCTTGCATTGAATCTGGCTGCCTTTGCTGTAAGGAGGCTGACTTCAATCCGCTGCTCCACAATGGAAGACCTGGCGTCCAACTTGGGAGATTCAGTAAGACCTGGCAGGTCTCCTCCTAGCCAGAGGAGAATGGGATGAGGTTGCTTAGCTGCTGTACTCTCCCCACTCCCTCCCAACCTCCCTGCTGAACTGGGCACATTCCAGGATAGGGACCAACAGGAAAATGCCACGTCAGGGCCTCAGGACTAGTCTTGAGATCCGTCCTGCCACACACGTCATGCACAAGTCAATTCTTACCCTTTCTGCAGTGTTCACCTTTGAGATGGTTAATTCCTTTTAATCTACAAGTATTTCCAGTCTCCCCAAATCTCCTAAGTAAAGGGCCAAGATATGTGAAAAATTAGCCAAGTATCAGCTGAGAGCAGGACCTTATGGGAAGAGCGGGAGATCAGGTCCACACCTGGGGCATGTGTCAGGAGACAGCCAGGGGATGCTGGAACCAGAGGAGACAGTATTTGCATAGGAGGACTGAGGGGCTGGCCCACAGCCTCCACAAAAGCCTTGGGGATGGATGAGGGCACCTGCAGGATCAAGTAGGGGTTGCTTTGTCAGAGAAGATAGACCTAGGCCAGGCTCAGAGCCCAAGAGGATGGGCCCTTTCCTGGACTAAGAGGTCCTGTGGCCTTTGATCCCACTTTCTGTGGGACTGTGTTTCTCTCCAATTCTTTCCCCCTCCTTGCCACGTTGGCATCCATCTGCAAGAGGCTGTGCGGTTTCGTGGTGAAGAACACATATTCTGGAGGCAGGAGGCCTGGATTCACATCAGGCCTTGGCCACTCTCTAACTATGCCTCAGTTCCCTCATAAGTGAGGAAACAGTCCCTGTTTAATGTGGTCATCATGAGGATTAAATAAGCCAAAGCATGCGAACAATTGAGAGCACTGATGGCCCCAGGCCCCAGGACCTTGGCAGCTTCACAGTCCTCCTTCCTCTTTTCCTGTCTTCTGCCCCCTGCTTTCCTTTCCCCTGTTCTTCTCTCTCTCTCTCTCCCTCTCTCTCTCTCTCTCTCTCTCTCTCTCTCCCTCCCCCCCCCTCCCTCTTTCTCTCCTCTCTTTCCCTCTCCCTCCTTCTATTTCTCTCTCCCTCTCTTCCCCCCTCCCCCTCCCCCTTCTCCTGCCCCCTCTCCATCTTTCTCTCCTTCTCTCTCTCCCTCTCCCTCTTATTTCTCTCTCCTTCTCCCTCTCTCCTTCTCTCCCTCTCTCTGGAGAAGAGCAGTGGGCAGAGGGGGAGCCTGGATCAGGAGAGAATGTGAAATGAGCCATCAGGAAACAGGTCCAGCTACATGTGGGAGTTGTTTATAAAGGCTGTGACAGCAACAGATCAGGAGGCAGACGGATTGGGACAGTTGGGATAGTCACCACAGCTGGAAGGCGCTGAGTGGATGTCTCCTGACAGCTCCTTAGCTAGAGCCGCTGGCCACTTGGAAGCCAGTGAGGGGCAGCCCTACCCTTTCCCTGCTCAGCCCTCAGCTACCCGCGTCCCAGACCAGGACGAGGCCTCAGAGACAAGGCTGGCAGGGAAAGCAGGAGCATGGCTAGATGAATCAAGCCCCACCCCCAGGCTGTGTGATCACAGGAAGTGGAGTCTGTCCATTTCTGGAAAGCCTCCCTCCTGGTGAGGAGAGCCCAGTGAAGGAAAGCTGGAAGGTAGGGAAGGGCAGCACTTGACCTGAGGCACCCAGATTGGCCCACCTCATCACAAGTGTCTCAGCTGAATACATCATGGCTTTTCCAGTTCGGTCTGTGGCAGAGATGCCTTGAGGATGTCCCGGGTTTCTAGAAGACCCTCTGCAGCCCAGGCACTGTCCAAGTCAGGTGCTGAGGGGGAATGCTGTCCCTGCTGGGGGACTCAGGGGCCAGCCTCTGAGGCTAAGTAGGGGTGGGTGGCAAGGGGTTTTGGAGGGCTCTGGTCAACCTGGGGGCCTGGAGTTGTCAGCACAGGCTGCAGGACAACCAGCTAAAAGCACAGAGAAAAAAGCCCTACTAAAAGCTGCTCAGCTCCCACGGGCCTCTGCAAACAGCTATCTTGTGCATGTGCTGGGAGTTTGACTGTAGCGTGTCTTTAATTTGGACCAAGATTAATTTTCATATTCCAGCCTTGGACCCACTGCATTTTTCACACATCAGCCAGCTGTGCAGAGCTCTTCTTTTTCACAGTTTCTTCCCAGGTCCAGACCCTCAGCCTCCCTGTCATCAGTCCGTGTGCAACTGTGTGGTGGCAGCCAGAGGAAGGCTGGGAAGCTTCCCAGAGAGTCAGCCTCCATTTCTATCTGGAAGACCTCAGTGACCAGAGCAGAATTTAAACCTACCAACTTGCCCTTCAAAGAACAAAGAAAGGAGATTGTCTTGTTATCCACTAGGGCCTTATCCTAACTATATTAATATCAAACACTGAGTGTTGGTCATATGCTAAGCCCTGTTCTAAAGCACTTTACATATGTATTAAACTCAACTTCTTCTTCACAATCACCCCATGAGCAAGGTGTTGTTATTATGACCATTTAATAGATGGGTAAATTGAGGTACAGAAGTGAATTGTCCATGGTCACACATCTCATGACTGTAAAGGCGGAGATTCAAGGCAAAGCTCACATGTATAATCACACGGCGCTGCTTTTCAAGCTGATGCTAGGACTAAGTTCTCTAAGGTAATGATAACACCAGAATGATTTTCAGAAAGTCAAAAATCCTCTGTAAATGTCAGCATTTGTCAGGGCAAGGGGCCAGGAGCAATGCCTGGATGATAGGGAGTCGTGGGATCTTGCCACACCTCCTGAGAGTCACACTCGATTTTTCTCTACTCCTCTTCAAGAATGTGGCCCCAGCAAGGGGTGGACCTGGGCTTGTACTTGTAGGGAGGGCAGGAGAAGGTGGGAGGCAAGGGCTATCTCTACAGAAGCCAACAGGAGAGAGGGTGTGGCATGCTCACCCCAAACACCTTCTTGGCCCCTGCTTTGGCAGCAAACATGGAAAGGATCCCGGTACCACTCCCAACGTCCAGCACCACTTTGTCCTTGAACACATGCTTGTTGTGATACATGGAGTTCCGGTAGGTGAGTGTCCGCACCTCATCCTTCAGCATTTCCTGTTATGGAAGGAAAGGAAAGGCAATGTCAATTTATTCAAGGCACCTGGGAGTACACCAAGATCATCGATCCCAAGACTGTCCTGCCAATTTTTCAAGAATCTCAATGCTGGGGGCGCCTGCCTGGCTCAGTCAGTGGAGCATGCAACTCTTGGTCTCAGGATTGTGAGTTTGAGCCCCATTTTGGGTGTAGAGATTACTTAAAAATAAGATCTTTAAAAATGAAAATCTCAAAGACATAATTAAGCTGAGTTGCAGGAGAGTATTGTAAGGCAGCTGGACCAGGGGCTACATGCACAATTACAAACGTCTCCAGCCTTAAAACACTACCCAAGAAAGATAATTTTGTACTGTAAGAGAAGAAATTCCTGGCCAGCCCTGGGAAAGCTTCCGTTTACCAAAGAACAAAAGTAGAAATTAGTGCAATGCAACTTGCCGGATTTAAGTTAAACCTGAAGCAGAATGTTCTGCTACAGTGAGAAAATTGTCATTGAACAGGTTATTGGAGGAGGTTAGTGTTTTGCGTGTTTTTGTGGTTTGTGTGTGGGAGGTGCATACTTTTTTGTTTGATTTTTTTTTTAAGAATAGAAAGTGTTTCTTAATCTACCATTATTCTAGTACTTTGTGGTAAAAGAGAAAGTAGGTTACCCTTTACAACTATCTCCAACCTAAGGAGAACATAATTCATCTGTGTATGGTGGTGAGGCCGGGATCTTTGTCCGTTCAAGCTATCAGCAAACACTTCTGACTAACTCATCACCAGTAATATTGGGATTATAGTATAATTTTAGTATAACTTGCATATACTACATATTTTACTTTATTTTATTTTATTTTTATTTATTTATTGGGAGGAGGGGGAGGAGAGTGCATGGGAAGGGCAGAAAGAGAGGGAGAGAGAGAGAATCCCAAGCAGGCTCTGCACTGGCAGCATGGAGCTTGACACAGGGTTTGAACTCACTAACCATGACTTCATGACCTGAGCTGAAACCAAGAGTCAGACACTTAACCGACTGAGTCACCCAGGCACCCCAAAAAGCACATATTTTAAATGCGTGGTTAGGTGTAAGAGTTTTGACTCACATACACCTGTGGGACAACTACCATAATCAAGATATAGAACATTTTCCTCCCCTTAGGAAGTCCTTGATCCCCCTTGACAGTCAATCCCCACCCCCATCCAGATAACTAATCATCCAACTTCTATCGCTAAAGCTTCCTTCTGCCTTCATATAAATTGAATCATATGGTATGTATGGCTTCCTTTGCTCAACATAAGGTTTTTGATATTCATTGACTTTAGTGCACATATCCAAGGTTTGTTTCTTTTTTCTTGTCCTTGTTGTTGACTAGCATTCCATTATACGGACGTCCATTCACTTGTTGATGACTATTTGGACAGTTGCAAATAAGGCTGGTACAAACATTCTTGTATAAGTATTTTTGAGGATATATATTCATTTTCCTTCAGTAAATACCTAGAAGTGGGTTTGCTAGTAGGTGTTTAATTTCATAAGAAAGTGCCAAACAGCTTTCCAAAATAGTTGCTTTGGTTCATGATCCCACCAGCAATGTATGAGCACTCGAGCTGTTCTATATGCCAATAACTTAGTATTATCCTTTTTTGAAATTTTATTCATTCTTGTAGATATGAACTGGTATCTCATTGTAGTTTTAATTGCATTTCCCTGATACCTATTGATGTAGGTAAATTTTCATATGCTTATTGGCTACTCATATAGATCTTCTATGATGTGTCTATTTGAGTCTTTTGTCCACTTTTTTTCTAGAGCTATTTGTCTTTTCCTTACTGAATTGTAGGAATTTATATAATTCTGGAAACAAATCTTTTTTCAGATATACATGTTGTTAATATCTTCTTCCAATCTGTGATGGGTTTTTTGTTTTCTTAATGTTGTCTTTGAAAAGCAGTTTTTAGGGGCGCCTGGGTGGCGCAGTCAGTTAAGCGTCCGACTTCAGCCAGGTCACCATCTCGCGGTCCGTGAGTTCGAGCCCCACGTCGGGCTCTGGGCTGATGGCTCAGAGCCTGGAGCCTGTTTCGGATTCTGTGTCTCCCTCTCTCCCTGCCCCTCCCCCGTTCATGCTCTGTCTCTCTCTGTCCCAAAAATAAATAAACGTTGAAAAAAAAATTAAAAAAAAAAGAAAAGCAGTTTTTAGTTTTGACAACGGCCAACTTTTTAGGTTGCTTTGTTTTTATTTTTTTAATGTTTATTTATTTTTGAGAGAGACAGAGACAGAGCGTGAACAGGGGAGGGGCAGAGAGAGAGGGAGACACAAAATCCAAAACAGGCTCCAGGCTTTGAGCTATCAGCACAGAGCCTGACGCAGGGCTCAAACCCACAAACCCACCCAGGTGCTCCTCTTTATTTTTTAAAACATTTTTAAGGTTTTAGGTGTTTTTTTAAATTTTTAATGATTAGAATTATTTGTGTCTTGTCTAATCTTTGTCTACCCCAAGGTCACAAAAATATTCTCCTATGTTTTCCTCCAGAAGTTTTATAGTTATGGCTTTTACCTTTAGGTCTATGATTCATGTCAAATTAATTTTTTATGTGGTGTAAATTAGGGATGTAAGTTCATTTTTTACACAAAATAGATGGTGTAAGCACCATTTATAGACTATTATTTCCACCATTGAATTACCTTGCCAACTTTGTCAAAGTTTAATTAACTATATATTGGTGCATTCTCTAATCTGTTCCATTAATAAGCCAATTCAAAACTAACTCAATTTCTGTAACTTAGTATTAACTTTGAAATAAAGTAGTGGGGCACCTAGTGGCTCAGTCGGTTAAGTGTCCGACTTCAGCTCAGGTCATGACCCCATGGTTCATGAGTTTGAGTCCCATGTTGGGCTCTGTGCTGACAGCTCAGAGCCTGGACCCTGCTTCAGATTCTGTGTCTCCCTCTCTCTCTGCCCCTCCCTCGCTCACACTCTGCCCCTCTCTCTCTCAAAAATAAACCTTAAAAAAATGTTTAATTAAAAAACAAAGAAATAAAGTAGTGTGAGTCCTAGTTATTTTACAAGGTTATTCTGGTTTTTTTTTTTTTTTTTTTTAGATCTTATGCATTTCCATATACATTTTAGAATCTGCTTATTAATTCACAAAGAACAGCCTCCTGGAGTTGATTGGAATTGCACTGAATCTATAGATAAATTTGGAGAGAATTGATATCTTAGCAATATTGAGTTTTACAATCCAAGAACACTGATACAGCCTTCCATTTATTTAGGTCTTCTTTAATTTCTCTCTGCAATGTTTTACAGATTTTAGAAGTCTTGCATTTCTTTCATTAAATTTATTCTCAACTATTTTTATTTTATGGTACTGTATATGATTTTCTAAAATTTTATTTTCTGATTGTTTTATGTCACTCTACATATGACCTTGCATTTTGCAGACTTGCTCCCTTCATATACTAATTCTAGTGTGATTTTCCATAGATTCCTTTGTTTTTCCATGTAAAAAAATCTTCTCACTTGTGAATGAAGACAATTTTACTTTTTTTCCTATCTATATGTCTTATATTTTTTGTTCTTTTTTTTTTTTTTTTTGTGCTTATTTTACTGCACTGGCAAGGACTGCCATGAAGTAAAACATTCAATAAAATAGAAGGCCAGCATCTTTGTTCCAATAATATATAAAGGTCACCACTGAGTATAATGTCAGCTGTAGGCTTTCTATGAGTCTTTTTTCAGATGAAGAAGTTCTATTTATAATTTGCTAAGAGCTTTTATCATGATTGGCACTGAATTTTGTCATGTGCTTTTTCTACATTTATTAAAATGATATGTGACCTTTCTCCTTCATTCAGATAATGCATTGACCTCCATAGATTGTCTTCAAATGTTGAAACAACATCTTGTCATAATGTATTATCGTTTTTAAATATTGCTAGGTTTTATTCACTAATAGTCTGTTGCAGATTTTTCTATTATATTTATGAGACATGTTAATCTGTAATTTTCTCTTACCTTCTCTGGTAATCAGTAATGCTGACTGAGCTTATGACACAAGTTAGAAAGTGTCCTCTCCTCACATATTTTCTGAAAAAGCTTGTGTGAGATTGGTATTTTTCTTCCTTAAATATTTGACATATAATTCACTTGTAAAACCATCTGAGCCTAGAGCCATTTTTGTAGGAAGATCCCATTTTTTTAATGTTTATTTATTTTTGAGAGAGAGAGAGAGAGAGAGCACAAGCATATGTGTGGGGGAGGGAGGGACAGAGGGAGGGAGAGAGAGAGGGAGAAAGGGGGAGAGACAGAGAGAGAGAGAGAGAGAGAGAGAGAGAATCCCAAGTAGGCTCCAAGCTCAGTGCAGAGTCCAATGTGGGGCTCAATCACATGAACTGCAAGATCATGACCTGAGCGAAAATCAAGAGTCAGACACTTAACTAACTGAGCCACCCAGGCTCCCCAGAAGATTCAATTTTTTAATAGATGCAGGACTGTTTTAGTTTTCCATGCATTCTTAGATTGGTTTTGACAAAGTGTTTTTCTAATGAATGTATCCATTTCAACTAAGATATCAAATTTATGGGCATAACATTGTCATAATATTCTCAAATTACCAGTCGAATATCTATATGATCTATAATGATGTCCTTTTCTTCATTTATATTATAATTTGTATTTCATCTTTTTCTTGATTAGTCTAAATAGAGCTTGTTGCCTTAATTAGTCTTTTCAAAAACTAACTTTTAGCTTTGTTGATTTTCTCTATTGCTTTATTTCTACCTCACTGATTTCTGCTTTCATCTTTATTATTTGCTTTTTTTCAACTTACTTGGGTTTTATTTGTTTTCTCTGCTTCATAAAGTGGAAGCTTTGACCATTGATTTTGCACTTTATTTTTGTCTAATGAAAGCATTTAAAGTTATAAATTTCCCTCTAGGTTTTGCTTTAATTACATTCCACAAATTTTCATGTGTCTGTTTCTAGCTATAACAAAATACCATAGACTGGGTGGCTTAGA